TGATAAGATTCTCCATGTCCTCAATTGGCATCTTGTTCATAAGGGTATTGGTTAGAGGTTTGCCAATAATCAATGATCTCTAGATTTATTTCTCTACTGTTGGATCCAAATCCAATAAAAATCAATCACATTCATCATAATTATCATATTCTTCATCATGCATAGGTGTCACGGCCATAATCATGTAAGCTAATAATTACATATAGAAATAGGTAGAAGTAAGTAAAAGTAGATAAAAGTAAGTTAATTCTATAATATTTAATATATAAGTTTCCTAGAAACTTCCTAGACGCTGCTTTGACTTCATAGGTGTCTTTAATTGACTTTCTGGATTAGAAACGTGGTCAACAAGTTGGCCATGTGCCACACATGTTGTTAGCTTGAAGATCAAGCTAACTATGTGGCCCACACGTAGAAAAACTTGCCTTGTAAGTCAAGGCATGTGTCCTACAAAGTCAACACATATTAGAGGTCCTATAGAACGTCGCCACGTAGCCCCTAGTTAGATAGTATATATAGAGACAAGAGTGAAGGCTTCTTCACTCTTGTCAACTCCTTTCTTGCTTCTAGTCCAGGTTCAAGAGTCTTTAGTTTCTTGTCTTGTGGCAATAGCCATTCCAGTTTCCTTTTAATATACCTACTTGTTTATATTTTGACTTATTATATCGAGATAGCCTTTTTGTGTATATTTTCCCTCATCGAGTCTTTGTCCTTGACAATAGGTTGATTTAGTAAAAATTTGGATCTATTAAGAATTCTTATATATATATATATATATATATATATATATATAGTGTCACTATTTATATCTAATATTATTGGATATTTATGATTTTTTGTATAAATTTGATATGTAATAATAAATATTTTTATATTTGAAAATTTGATTATAAGTCTTAAAGATTCATTTATAAGATGTAAATAAGAAGAATTATTGGCAATTTATTTATAAGATGTAAATAAATAGCCTTAATTATTACTTATTTTGGCAATTCTTTTTTGGACATGATATGCCAACTTTAGATGTGGAAGAAGGAGAGGATAGGAAAAAAAGATTTTAAAATAGACTTACTACATATCTTTGGTTTTATTATATTATCTAATTCTAATACTTGCAAGAATTAAATATAATCCTTGAGTTTGCTTATAATAACTCAAAGACAAAATATTATGGTGATATTTAAATTCATAGCTAAAAATCTAATATTGCTACTCCAATCCGTGTACCTAATAAATAACTCAAGTATTACAAAAATCCCAAGTATCACAATAAATTATAAAGTTTACGATAGTATCATAAATTTAATCATTACAAGAATAACAATTATATCTATATCTTTATTAGCAATATGCTTTGCACTTCAAGTAATTACAATAACAAAATCCAATATCTTATTTGAAATTATAATTATAATCTTGTGATAAGAAGACGGCAAAACTTCTGAGTTATAAACTATAATAATTCTAAAATTCAAATTGTTGTCTATTACAATTTGTAGACAACCATACTTTCATTTCCAAAATCTTATATGCAAATTGATAACACCTTCTTTGGTCCTAAAATCTTAAAAATTACAATACATTAGAATGTCATCATAATTTTTAAAAAATAAGTATAATATTTCATCTTAGAAGTAGTTCTAAGATACAACCATATAGAAGACAAAGCTACCAAAGATGAATATATATTCTTCTTAGTTCAACAATTCAAATAATTTTAGAAGAGTATTAGAATACATCAAAAAGAATAAAAAAAAAAAAAAAAAAACATCTATATACAACAAAGATTTGATAGTAGTAGATCAAGATTTATAAAAAGTATAAAGAAGACATCTAAATTTTGTAGTTTTTTTTCTATAAAAAAACATAATCAAATTATCTTAGAGAAATAAAAATAATTAAATCTTCTTTGTTGAAAAGATTTAAAGATCTCATACTTGAATCTATATAATATAAACTATCCACATATTTAGATATAAAATTAAAAAAAAAATACTCTTCTTTAACTACCTTTGAATAAGCCTCCACATCCAACTCTATTAATCAAGAATTATTCATTTGATTTTACAAGACCAACATATTAGATCTAAAATCAAATGAACAACTTTTGAAGATACTTGATCAAAAGTATTTTTTTAAATAGTCAAAGTCAGAAGATCAATATCCAAAATTGCCAATTTTAAAAATGATAAAGATATCAATTCTACTTAATTTTAAATTGCTACATTAGCACATAATTTTCTTTTTAATTCATATTTATGTTTTGAATTCTATCAAAATTATAATAATTTTTTTGACATAGATAAATTAATATGCCTAAAAAAAGTAATAACACAAACTAGCTTCTTATTTGATATTTAACCAACTTAAGAAAAATTTAAATAATATTGATATATTCTTGGAAGTCATCTCAATATAAAATCTTGCCTTAAGACTCAAGATTAACTAGAATAAATCAAAAGCTATGTACTAATTTTAAACTCCAAGCTTTTCTAGCTCAATAAGCATAATAAAAAATAAGCTTATATAGAAAAAAATTACAAATTGTTAGGTACTTCTTTTATTATTAATATTGGTTTTTAATTATAAATATTTTTTTATTCGAAAAAAATTAATTGGTACTTTAAAAATCAAATATAATAAGTAAAATTAAAATTATAATTATTTTATTTTTATTTTTATTATTTTTTTAATTAAAGAGTAAATAAAATCTATAAAGACCATACAAATAATTAGATACTTAAAAAAGAGTTTTTTATCAATTAAAAAAGAAAATAATAGAAAAATAAAAATTATATAGAATATAATCAAATAATATATTTATAAATATGAACATAATCTCTTAAATTTTTAAATAGTATTTGAAGTAGTATTATTTAGATGGATGCTTAAAGCAATTATGCTAAGAAAATCCAACATCTTCATCATCTTCAAACATATTATTAATTGAATTCAATCAATCAAAATATCCAAAAAAATAGAAAAAAGAAATCTGTATTGGATGACTACTTACACATCTAAGTTTGTAAAAAATTCAAAGTGTAAAAAATAGTTAATAAAATATATAATTTAGGATCAAAGATATACAACAAAAAAATTCAATGCTTATTTATTCATTTATTTATTTATATATTTATTAAGATTTGAACTAAATTTTTTGACTTAAAGGCAAATTATACTTTATTAGACAATTGGCCTTTAAGCAAAATTATTTACATCTTAATAAAATTAATACTAAATAAATTGAATACTCATAGTGCTACAAAACTCTGTCATTTTTAACTTGGCTAGGCCAAAAGTTCCTTTGGAATTTTATCCCAATGGCATTAGTTTAAATCACTAAATAATATAGAAATTTTTATTCACAATTCTCAATGAATAATAACCTCTTTTAAATAAAACCAAGGAAAACAAGACCCACTTTGATATGGTTGGTTTGGCATAAGAAGATAATAGTCAATGCTTACCATTGAAAATCATGTACTAAAATCAATGGCCATTACAATTTATGCTTTAAAAAAATTAACAAAAAAAAAAAAAAAAAAAAAAAAAAACTTTATAGTTTTTGGGAGTCTTTAGTGGCTCAATAAATATGGAAATATAAATCTAGCATCTTTATCAATTTTATCTGCATTAGGTTGAATAAAGCCATTAACTTGCATACTTATTCTAACAAATTATCTATAAGCAGAACAAGAAAATCGTATGGTCATTTATTGTAGGAGTGTGTTTTTGGACAATTCATACAAAAATATACCAAATTATTTAAAGAGAAGATACAACTTAATGCAATAGAAGAAACGCAATTATAGAACCAATTTATAAAATAATAAGAGCTATTTGGTACAAACTAGGGAAAAAAATCAAATTAAATTGCTTAAAAATAACTTAAAACTTCTAAAAATTATTTAAAATATAGATCAAAGACAACAAAGTAGAAATTTTAGAATAAAAAAATCAATTAGGTAGAATACTACTTCCCTGTGCAAGGTACGTATATCCTTCTTCCTCAAAACCTTAATAAGGTCCTTCGGCATTGTATATAATTATTTATTTAATAATCCTAAACGAGGAAGTAAACCCTCTGATGTTTCAAAAATTAAAAAATTAAAATTTAACTTGAATAGATAAAATGAGTGCTCCAAAACAGGTCCTCTTAAGTTAGTTTGCAGCTGAGCCGAAGTCTTTGTTTTGGGCTTTTGGCAACAGGGTGATACTGGTTCAAAAATAGATTTAAGCATTGTTTCTAAGCATGAGCTTCTTGTCTTTCTTTTTCCCCTTCGAGTTTCTCTAACTGTTAATAGTATGTTGAAAATAATTTAGTGTTCTGTGAGCTAGGTGATCAAAAGAGTTTTTTTTTTTTTTTTTTTTCTTTTTTTTAATAATGCACAGCTTTTTTAGACGCTAGTTTATTGAAGTCAATCTGAGAGCACAACCATTTTCAAGTACTTTGCTTTGAATGACACACAACAGTTAAATAAGGTGTTCATTAGTGTAGTGAAAATAGCAGATGGAGACACTTCGATCCGCATTTTTAGCACTCGAAGCACACATCAGCTTATTGCCACATTGAATTACTATCCTCAACACCATGGCCACGACTTTGAGCAAGTTGGTTGCTTTCTTCACCGATTCTTTCAATCGAAATAAAAACTGCTTTAAAATTGCTCCACTGCTGCTTTGATTTCTGTAATAGTCATCTCTTTTGCACCTCAATTGGTGATGATCATCACATGCTGATGTTCGAGGTGCTTTCTACAGACCCTGAAAATACCGAAGTGAGAAGAAAGAAAAAATCAAATTAGGATGAGTCAGGAAATGAAGAGTTTTTAGAGATGCAATGAAGTTTGCCGACTTGAGATGTCACAATACCAGCTTATTTGCGGCAAACAATTACCACGGAGAGAACCAGGGATTGTTGGTGAGTTAAACAAAACTTATGCTACACAATTTTATAACCAAGGGAGGTGTACGTCAAGTTCGATCATGGAGACCAAAGATGCCAAGTACTAATGAACTAATTGATAGGAATTTTTTAGAAAATAACTTTGTTTTCCTCCACAAAGCACAATCGGCACGCCATTGAGGAAAATACACTGCACCTCCTATATCAGCACGCCAGCACTGAAAAGATCTGGTAATTTCCAGACTAAGATGCGGGGAAAGATGTCCTGCACCTCGTACAATGACATCGTAAAATCCTATCCTGAATTTTTTTTCAGCAAATTTAACACCTGTAAGAGTCTACTCTTGATCTACGATCAGTTAGTCTCGAACTTTTCACTTACTGCACGGATTCCTTTTCCGTCGTCTGTGGTAATCTTCACATGGCCCATGCTCCAGCATCTAGCATAATTGTAAGAACACCTGAGAGTGCAATGCAGAAAAACAAAAATTCTTCGGACAAAGTTCACACCTCCCAATGTATCGATTCATCAGAACACCAGCACCGATGCTGGAGACGCTGTGGCAGCGAGCTTCTCAAGTTCCTGGCCGTATAGATTGGTCCCAGTCACAACGAAGGGCACAAACCGATCACAACCAGCTTGGGACGGGCTGAATCGAAAAGCCCACCGCACCAAAGTCTTTCCATCTTCCTCCTGCTTTGCCTGCAATCACCAACTTCACAAAATCGATCGCAGACCTAAATCATGCGAAGAGCCGCGGTACTACCCCCCCCCCCCCCCCCCCAAACACATTGGAATCGGCCACAGCCAATGTTACCGATTGGCACCGGGTTGATGGCTGGATGGACGCCACTCTAATCGGCTAAGCAGGGAGTCATGAAAGCAGACTTGTAGAATACTAGAAGGTGGAGAGTGAACTGTTACCTGGAATGCGGAGTAGTAGCCGAGGTCCACACCAGTGTTGTTCTCAAGAGACTCATAGGAGAAGACGTGTTCCGATGGGTTGATCACCACCAGCTTCTGCTTCGCCCACTGGTCTGCATCGGTCCCCATCCGGCCGGGAAGGTCAGTGACTTTCTTGGTGCATCCCAGTACTCGGTTCTCTCTTTCCACTGGCTCAAGCGTGAGCAAGTTGGGGAAATCCAGAAACTCAGATTCAACGTCCCACACCTTGTCGAGAGGCGAAGATACGGTCTTCTTCACCACACCATTCCATGGTACATCTGATTCCGCCATTGCAGCAAGAAGCAGGCTTGCACCTAAAAGGTGATTCCAACAGGGCGAACATGTGAATGGGCTGCGAATTCGTGTTGTGTCGTGACAAGAGTTGGTTGTAGATCCTAACGCATCTACATGCTTCGTTGCATTGATCTGCAGACTGCGGTTATCCTATCTCCACTTTCGATGGTCGTGCACTCCGGGCGAAGCAGAATCTCCCTTAGCTTTTTGAGTCTGAATTACTGAGCGACAAGAGTGCAATGTGCTTGGAACAGAACCTGATCGATAATTTCCTTACAACCCCATTCCGGGCACTTACAGCATTTGCACTTAGATGCATTTTGAATTAATTGAGGTGGAGTGTCAGTTCTAAAGGTGCGTTCAAAGTGTATGACACAATACTTTCTATGGATTTTCTCAGTGAAAAGTCAAAAGATATACGTAAGTTACACCCCTGATCGCAACTCGATCATCCAGTTTTGTTTTTAGCATTCTGTCGTCATGTGGTTTGTCCGCTCGCATCGTCAATTATTAGTTGAAAAAAGTTTTCCGTAGTGAAGGACTTCTTGGAATCGACACAAGGATGAAGCCAAATATGGATTGAATTACTCAAGAATTGTGGGCGTACTCTACGCGAATTTCATGCTTTAATCTATGTCAAAGAAAACAATGAACAAACAACAAACCGGTGGAAACAAATATCTTAAAAAAATCTATTTTAAACACATTAATATTCTGATTCCTAATGTCTTCTACGAACTCCTTCATTTGACCCATTTTAAATCTCCAATCGAATGAGGGATTTTCGACACACCACAATATATATATATATATATATATATATATAGAAGAATGAAACCTAAATCACTGTGTTTGTATAAAACAAGAAACCCAACCTAAGCACGCTTAGAATATGGAGACAACCTCTCACCTGGCTCCAATTACAAAACTTCAGCATGGATCTCTGCCTTATTTTGAACAGATGGTACAAGGGCCGGTTTACCTCTATCTCTTGGCTGATTCACACGATATTGTTATTCGGAGATGCCAGATCTCTACTACTCGCTGTCTCGCACAGAATCATTTGCAAAATTCTCAAGCGCGGAACATTGTAGCGCTACCTCTGCCGCTCGTTGCGAAATTCCAAAGGAGAACGAAAATCTTTTTAGCCTGTGTGGGTGAGATACCAGGTGTTGTTTGTCAGAAGAATCTAACACTGGTACAAAAATACCAACTTCCTGACAGGTAGGCATCAACCTCATGGCATGCTTTGCTGTGCGTTGGATCCAGTGTGAACTACAAGGACATAGTTGAGGTCGGATTTGTGAAAGTCCATGGCCACATGATACTGGAAGCTCACAACTTTATGACCCGAGGGGAATCTCGAAGGTGGATTCGTGCAACTGCATGGCGTCTTAAGCGATAAACTCCGGCTCATAAGTCTTTGAAATGAGGCAGACAGTGCGAACTGTTGCAGCTCATAGTCTCTCAAGCATTTGTCTACTCCATAGCCCACGTTTGTAACAAGGATAAGATTCTGATAGACATGTTGGGCGTCATCCCAGGCTGTTGAAAATAGCTACACTGAAAAAGCACATTTACTTCTATAAGTTGGAACTGTACTAAAGATTATCAATTGGATCATAATTTTACCATTAAAATGCTTATAACTATTAGTATCTTAAAATCGATTTCTATTGTGGATGCCAGATTTCTATTAATTCCATGTATATAATTATGGGTTCATTCAAAATAGTCTTTGTTATATTTGAAGACTTGGAGTTAGCCTCCTCATTGATGTCACCAACTTATACTAAAGTTGGTGTTAGGAATACAAATCTTTTTTTTTTGAAATAAAATATTGATTGGTTCATTATTTTAAGAATTATAATGAAATTTGTAGCTTCCTCTAATTTACATAAACTTATCTAATCTTTGCATTTTAGAATGTATTTTTAGAAAAATATATTAATAGATAGTTTTAAATATGTGTTGGTGTCAAGGACAAGACCTCGATGAAAAAGTAATTCAGACAAGTGAGCCTTCACTCAAAGAAAGATAACAAAATATAAATAAATAAGTATGTATATTGAAAGAGAAACTAGAATGGCTATTGCCAAAAGACAAGAAAACCAAAGATCCTTGAAACTAGATTGGAAGCAAGAAAGGAGTTGACAAGAGTGAAGAAGCCTTCACTCTTGTCTCTATATATACTATCCAAGTAATAGCTACGTAGTGACGTTCTATAGGACCTCCAATATGTGTTGACTTTGTAGGACACATGCCTTGACTTACAAGGCAAGTTTTTCTACGTGTGGGCCACATAGTTAGCTTGATCTTCAAGCTAACAACATGTGTGGCACATGGCCAACTTGTTGACCACGTTTCTAATCCAAAAAGTCAATTAAAGACACCTATGAAGTCAAAGCGGCATCTATGAAGCTTCTAGGAAGCTTTCATATTAAATACTATAGAATTAACTTACATTTACATACTTTTACTTACTTCCACCTATTTGTATATGTAATTACTAGCTTATATGAGTATGTCCGTGATATTACCCCCTCTTCTAAGAATGTGTTCCACAAGGAGCGATCATCATATGTTGAAGAAATCTATGATGCGATGAATTGTATTCGCCACATACTCTGATCTTTGTTCTCTTTGAAGATGATTGATAGGACCTCTCAACCATCCGTAGTGTCCCATACCAGGGTGGAAAGACCACCCAATTATTTGATCATTGTTGAGGCCTTCATAACTTCCTTCGAATAGAACATTTGGAATACCATCAGAAGTTGTTCCTATCTCTAGCAAAATCACCAAACATCGGGAGTCCCTTCCTAAGTCGTGATACCAAGCGCGTTGTATCTCGTCATCTATTCGAGGAAGAATATGTCGTTCTTGAAGATCTTCATCTTGATTGCATTATCTTGAAGGTTGTGACAATCGTAATGTCTCGTCTGGTAGGTCAGCAACTGAAGGCTCTTCAGTCGAATCTGTTGGTTGTTAGTTCTCCATCTCCTGACCGTCACACAACAAAGAAGCTACAAACAAGGATTGAAAGTAGAATGTTATCTTGCCTATATGTTGTTTCTTTTATAAAGAAGGTTTTTATCTTCATTTTGATAGATGTCATCGATGAAAAGCCTCCACCGCCTTTGTTGCATTTGCAAGATTCTTTATTGGCTCCCATGTGCGTTCGCTAATATCATATCCATGCCAATGGACAAGATATTCTAATTTTTTTGGGTGTCGCCTTGAATCTAAGACTTCTTCTACTTCAAACTCTTCATTATTGTCCACTTCTATAAGAGAGGGTGGAGCTTATCGTCTTCTTGGTATGTCCACTGTCTAGTATGGTTCAAAAAGAGACACATGGAATACTGGATGGATTTTCATTGACTCCGGTAGATGTAAACGATATGCAACTAAATTGATTTGTACAAAAATAGGAAATGTTTCCAGCCTTTGATAGTCCAACTTGTCACAAGGACGAGTGGTCTTGATATTATGACGAAGTAGCCATACCTTATCATCCAAGTAGAATGGTGGTTGTTTCTTTTCATAGACATCTGCATTGACCTTTTGTTGTTCTTGAGCCTCTTTTAACTATGCCTTCATTAGTGCATGTAGCTTTGATAAATAAATTGCCAAATCTTTCGCAGCAGGATTATCAACTTTTAAAAAGTTAAAAGTATCAAGTCGTGGATGATAACCATAATTAGTAAAGAAAGGTGTTTATTTTGTAGAAGAATGTATCGTGTTATTGTAAGCAAACTCTGCCAATGGCAAAAGAGTTGTCCAATCATCTTGTTGGTAATTAATGGTACATCTTAAATATTGCTCCAAAACTTGATTAATACGCTCCGTTTGTCTATCAGTTTGAGGATGGAATGCCGAAGATAGTTTTATATCTACTTTAAGAATCTTGAAAAGAGTCCGTCAAAATCTTGATAAAAATTGAGTTTTCCTATCTGATATAATATCCTTGGATAATCCATGATAGCGATAGATATTGTCAAGAAAGAGCTTAGCTATTTCTTCACTTCTGATAGATTTTGTACATGGTACAAAATGTGCCATCTTGGTAAAATGATCTACTATCATGAATATAGAGTCATAAGAACCTGAGATTGAAAGATCCGTGATGAAGTCCATAGAAACAGAAGACCGTGATTGTTCTGAAATGGATAATGGCTGAAGAAGTCCAAAAGGTCGATGACAAGGAGTTTTCGATCTTCAATAAATATCACATGATTGTACAAAATCTTTAAGTGCCTTCCACATTTGAGGCCACCAAAAATCCCTAGATATCAGCTCCAAAGTCTTATTATATCTAAAATGTCCTACTGCTGGGAAGTCGTGACGAGCTTGAAGAACACGTAAACGTGCTTCTCCTTCTGGAACATATAGGCATCCTTCGATATAGAGTAGGTTGTGCTTGAATTCAAATTTAGACGGATCATGAGATTTAGAAGAATTATTCTTGATATCATAAACAACAGGGTCTAAAGACATACTTAACTGGACTTGTTTAAGAAAAGTTAAATCAACAGTCAATGTTGATTTTATTTCTCGAAGATGAAATTACAGTGGCTTCAAGAGAACTGTTCTTTGTTGCTCAAAAGCTGCATCTCCTTCTTTTGGTGCAAGATAAGAACGTCTAGACAAGGCATCAGACAAACCTTGTTATTTTTCTGGCCGATAAGTGATGATGAACTCGAATCTTGATAAAGACATGCTCCAACGAGCTTGGCAATGATTTACTACACGTATTGACATAAAATATTCGAGGTTCTTGTGATCCGTATACACGGTGACTGGACTGGAAGCGCCTTCTAGGTAATGATGCCATTCTTGAAAAGAATCCACAATTGCAAGCAGTTCTTTGTTGCAGATCTCATAATTGATTTCTGTTGTTGAAAATTTTCTTGAATGAAAGGCTATTAGATGAAGTTTGTCATCTATTTCCATTTGTGATAAAACCGCACCCAGAGCAAAGTCCAATGCATCTGTTTCCATAAAAAATGCTTTGAAAAAATCAACACGATACAAGATTGGTGCAGAAACAAACGCTGTCTTTAAAGATTCAAAAGCAACTTCCGCTTCTTGATTCCATTGGAGTTTGTCTTTACAAGTCAAATGTGTAAGTGGAGCTGCAACTCGAGAGAAGTCTTTGATGAAGATCCGATAGTAGTTGACAAATTCCAAAAAACAGTGGGCATCTCTTACCGTTTTTGGGATCTTTCAATCTATAATAGTTTGAGCTTTCTTAGGATCCATCATAAGTCCATCATTTGAAATGATATAACCTAAG